ATCATAAAAAAAAAATCCTCCAGGAGACTTCCTGGACCACAGGAGTCCAGTGATCTCTTACTTCTCTGTCCTCAAGATTATGGGATTTAGAGCCCCAGCTAGGATACTGAGCTCTGCTCATTTTAGGAGGTACATTGATAAGCTGAGGAGAGCATCCCAAAGAGGGTAACCAAGGTGGGGAAGGGTCTCAGGTTCATGCACATGGAGACTGGTTGAAGGAATTGGGGGTATTGAGCCTGGAGAAGACTCAGGGGGGATTTAATAACTCTAAATCGTGGAAGGGCTATCTGGTGGAAAGAGGGATCAGATCTATTCTGCTTAAGGCCAGAACTAGAAGCAAGAGTGGTGGTGGGGGTTTGAATAGGTTGAACTAGATGGCCACTGAGGTCCCTTTCAAATCTGGGATTCTGGGACCTCAAATTAATTCTTCTTTTCTACACTGCCATTGTGTATTTTATCCTTAGCATGTGCTCCTCTGTCTTTTTTTCACCTGTGTGAACTGACTCCCCAACTAGATTGTGAACTCCTGGAGGGCAGGGAGCTTTCCTTACATCTCCCAAATGTAGCCCAGCTTGGGGCTGCACACATTGCTGGTGCTCAGTAAATATTTGCCGAATGACTGAGGAATTCTTGGCCCTCTTAGAGTTGCTGCTGTGTGTGGGGGAAGGGGGAGCAGGAGAGAGGGGAAGGAAGAAGTGAAACTACCTCTCTCTTGGCTCTGCAAAAGAGTTGAACTTGGCCCAAGGTTCTCTTACCCTGTTCAGGGCCTAGTGGATTTTATACTCTATAATAGAACCCCCCCCCCCAACCATGCTGGCTACTGACCCTGAACAAAGAAAGATTGGCACATGGGGTTTTGATCCATTGACCTCTCCATCACAGCCCCCATGACTTCCTCTGGGCTATTCTACTTCATTATTCAGAAAAAAAGGACCTTCAAACCTGAGCCAGGTATTAGCACTGTTCTATATTCTACGGGCACAATTGTATAATGGTGCATTATATGCATAATAATATGGCAATATCATACATTATAACACCTGTATGTATGACCCTGCAATAATGATATTTTTTATTTCCCTTCTTTTATCCATCCTGGGTTCAGGTAGAGGATAAACCCAGAAGCCAAAGGCAACAAGAGGCACAGAAGGGTAGTGGAAAGAGCGTGGGCCGGGATGGGGCGCGGGGGAGCTAAAGATGTTTATAACACATTTGGTTTAGCAGAAAAAGCACTGAATTGGGAATCACAGAAGCCCAGATCACAGGGCACTTCTGTGTGCACATCTTACATTTGCTTATCTAGGACCAAATTGTCTTCCCCTAGTTGAATGGAAATAATTTCCTTGATGGCAGGGACCAGCTCACTTTGTCTTTCTATCCAGAGTACCTAGAACAGTGCCCAGGGCATATAGGGCAACACTAAACAATTGTTGAATTGAATGGAAATTACATATGCCCGTCAACAGAGTAAGGTTAATGCTATGCTATTGAGTAGAGGAGAGGTAGAGGCAGGTACAGAGAAAGGAATCAAGGTTTGTTGACTGGGTACCACCCTTCCCTGAGAACTGCTGGAATGGGATTTGGATCATTTAATAAAATGGTTTCATTTTATAGGAGTAAAGTGAGACCCAACAAGAAGTGACAAAGTCGAGATTTGAACCCAGCCCAGTGGTCTTTGTGCTACACCGATGTGTTATAAATACAAGCTCTTTAGTCCTCTCATATTCTGGGTAAGGCACACAGGGGAAGAGGAAATTATCTATTTTCCAGGTGGGGAAATTGATTTCAAGGAGTTCCTGTGATTGTCACTTGATGCGCTGTTCAAAGAATTGGGACAAGAACCTAGGAAGTCTTCAGGCTGCCATTATAAAGCCCTTACCCTTTGATCCCTCTGGCCTCCAGGTGTGTGACTAACCTCAGGGTCCTAGAGAATTGGGGTGGTTAGTGTTGCGCCAGTTTCCCCAACATGGCCCTTTTATACACTGCCGTCCCTGGGGTGAGACAGCCTCACAAGAAAGCAGTTCTTCATCAGTTATTTGCCCTCATTGGGCACCAGTCAAGAAGACCTGCCTTACACCCAATTCCAAGCTAGGGTAAAGAGTATTACAATGAAGTTTGCACACCAGAGATTAGTTCATCAAGGGGATCGTGGTGCATAGATCAGGAGCTAGAAGGACTGGCTTCACAGCGTGGCTCAGACATATTTACTAACTGTGTGGCCTTGGGCAAGTCACTTGTAGCATTTGTTTCCTCATCGATAAAGTGGGGGAATGATGATGCTTGCAATAGCTCCCCCAGGAATGTAGTGCAGGGTAGTAGAAAACTTGATGGAGCTGGAGGCAGGTCCTGGTTCTGCTGTGTCAATGACAAGCCATAGAATCTCTTTAGGCCTTGTTTTATTTTTTTGTAAAATGAGGGGGTGAACTAGAATCAGCACTTCTGAAACCCATATGGGGTTGAGACCCATAGTTTAAGAAGTGCTGAAGGGGGTCATGTGTGGAAAAAGTTTAAGAAGCCCTGGACCAGATGAGGTTCTAGTTGGAGTCAGAGGACTCAGGTTCAAATCCTAGCTCTGCCACTTACTGTGTGTGACCTTGGGCAAGCCACTAACTTCCCTGGGCCTCAGTTTCCTCATCTGTAAAATGAGTGTGTTGGACCAGATGGCCTCTGTGGTCTCTACAGGGCTATTGTGAGGGAAGCCTTGTACAAATGTGAGTTGGAGTAGAAATGTAAGAAGTGTTATTATCGGAGCTCCACCCAAGGGTTCACAGAAAGGTCTATGGTGCAAGCAGACAGGACTTTCTTGGCTGTGGAGGGCAGAGACAAACGCAAAGAGCACTTGGACTGTGAGTAAAGCACAGCAGACCTCTGTCTCAAACCTTTGCCTCCCAGACTGTGTGGCAAAGGTGTGAGTGGCTGGCTGGCCAGGGGGTAGTAAGACATAAAGTGACCCTCTGTTCCAAGCATGGCCTGTTGACAAAGGGTGGGGTCTGGGGGGGGCAGTGTGTAGCAGCGCCTGGAAGACCAGAGAGCTGTACATCTACAGAATGCTGAGGTGGAAAGGGATATTAGAACATAGAATGTTAGAATTTGAAGGGACCTTCAAAGTTATTTAATTCAATCAATCTCCCTCAGTTTATAAACGGGGAAATCGAGGCTCACGGGAGGAAGTGACTTGTCCAAGATCACACAGCTGCTGAGTGGCAGAGTCCCAACTCTGGTCTTCTGACTCCCTGGAGTCCAGTGCTTGAGAACCCCAGGGTAGGAGCATGGGGTTATGATTGCAATAGAAGAGTTGAGGGACAGAAGAGAAAGTCTCATTATGCGGGTGGCACACACTTTTTTTTTGCTAGTTTGTTTTCCTTTCACTCTTAGGTAAGCTGCTGCTGCTGGCATTAGGTCTGATTTGGTGGGAAGGGGCAGTGAAGGAGGCAGGCAGCAGCTTACCAACGGGAACCCAGAAATTGCAAATGGAGTCTCTCATCAGCACAACTCTCCAGGAACTTCCTGGAAGACTCGGCCCTAAGATAGGGGTAGGGTAAGGTATAGAATGGTGCTACCCAGGTAAGACCTGGGCACGAAGACCCTTGAGAGGTACAGCTAGGCTATATCTAAATGTCTGACATAGAGGTAGCTAGCATAGCGGAAAGTACTTGGAAAGTATTTGGAGTCAAAAGACCTGGGTTGGAATCTTGGACCCATTGATTACTTGTGTTGACCTCACCTCTCTGGGCCTCAGTTTCCTTTTCTGTAGAAAGAGGGGTTTGGACTTGATGAGGTATTAAATCTTATGCTCCTAGGACCTTTGTAGTCCTCATTGCAATTATCCATACACCCCCACCACTCTCTTCTCCCCCTTTTGCAGGGGGAATGCTCCCTTCGCCCAACCCTTATTTCTAATTCCTCAACCTCCCTGTGTCTGAGCTCTGTGATTTAGGGAGGGTGAGTGGATGGGTGGCTGCAAGGTGAAGGCATGGGTGGGAAGGTTCTGAGTGGAATTAGCTATGATGAGCTTCTTCCTTCCCAAACTTCAGAGAAGCTCCTTTCTGCGACCCCTAACATTGGTACGCACCTTCTGGGGAAAGGGGCCGGGACCAGGAGCGAACTCATGGGGGGAGGACAGTTTTTTGGGGAGTGCGCGCCTTTTATGACAGGTGGCCGCGCGGTGCGCGCTCCCGGGCGCCCAAAAAGGGGGGTGGGGTGGGAAGAAAAGGTGGTTATAGGGGAAGCTGAGAGAGGGGAAGTGGAGTGGGGGAAGGGTGGGGGCAGTAGGTCCAGCACTGGTGGTGTCAGTGGAGCAAACAATGGCAGGGGCAATAAGCGCCCAGGTCTGGGCACCTTTTTGAATGGGCAAAGGCAACCCTGGGAAAGGAGGGGAGGCAGAAGCAGCAGAGGCTCAGGGGCAGCAACAGTAGAAGCGGCGGGGTGAGGAGGAGGAGGAGGAGGAGGAGGAAGAGGAGGAGAAAGGCAAGGAGAGAAGGAGGAGGAAGAGGAGGAGGAGGAGGAGAGGGAGGAGGGAGAGGAGGACGAGAGGGAGGGGAGGAGAAGGAGGGGGAAAAGGAGGAGGAGGAGGGGGAGGAGGAGAAAGGCAAGGGGAGAACCCGGGAGGGAAAGCCAGTAGCATCAGCGGCAGCAGCGGCAGCCGCCCTCCTCCTCCAGCTCCAGCTCGTTGTCGTTGTGGTCCTCCCTCCCTCCCTCCTTCCCCCCCTCGGAGGGCCGTCGCCGCCCCGAGCGGGCTCTCTGCGCCGCGCGCGCTGTCCGCGTGCTAGGCGCCCGGGGTTCGGGGCGGTGGCGCGTGCGGGGCACGGACCGCAGGACTCGCGGCGGCGGCAGCAGCTGCAGCGGCGGCGGCAGCAGCAGCAGCAGCAGCGCGGGCGTTGAGCGGCGGCAGCGGCAGCAGCGGCGGCGGCGCTGACTCGGTCCGCAGCGGCGGCACCGGCACCACCCCCCAGAGCAGGAGGGAGGGAGGGAGCAAGAGGAGGAGAGGAGGCGCGTCCACCTGGCGGTCCAGGCGCATGGAGCAGCAGTAGCGGCGGCGGCGGCGGTGGCAGCAGCGGCAGCAGCCCCCTGACTGCAGTCGGCGCTTGCAGCCCCGCTGGGCCCCAGAGCCGAGCCTCGCCTCGCCTCGCTTTGCCTCAGGAACCAGCCTGCGAGGTAAGTGGCCTGGATGCCATCCAGTGCCGGGGCCCTGCCCTGCCCTGCCCGGCCCCGGGCGGCGGCGGCGGGGGCGGGGGGTGCGGGTGCCACCGCTGCTGCTGCATGCAGCTGGAGGAGGGAGGCTGCGAAGGCAGCCAGCAGGGCGTGTGAGAGCGGGAGCGAGGGCGGGAGCGGGAGCGGGCACGGGAGCAGGCGCGGGAGCCTGAGCCCGAGCCCGGCCGCCGTGGGCACCGAGCCCCGCGCTCGCCCTCCCAGGCATTGCAATCTAGGAAAGGCCCCGTTCGCTTTCAGCCGCCTGCCTGCTTGCCAGCCTGGCCCGGGAGGGGGAGGGGAAGTGCTGGGGGCCGCGGGAGCCGCGCGCGCGCGCGCGCACACACTCACTCACACTCATACACACTCACACACACACTCACCCAGATACGCGGCCACACGGGCCGGCACATACACACGGCCACGCACACGCAGGCACACATACAGAGACACGGACACGCGCGCGCGCCTGCTGCGCTGCGGGCACCGGGCTGGCTCCCGAAGCCCGGCGTCGCCGCGCGCGCCTTTCGCATCCCTCCCGGTCCAGGGCCGGAGCTGGGGGAGGGGGCCCGGAGAGTCCCCCACCCCCCAATACCCAGCCGCCCTTCCTCCCGGGATCCGCCATCCCTCGTGACAATTGGCACGGGCCCCGTCCAGCCCAAGCCGAGCCGGGCTTGCGGTCCGGCGCCGCCCCGCACAGCCCCGGGGGGCCGCTGCCCGTGAGTGCGGGTATGGTGGGCGGGCGGGCGCTCAGTGCTGGCCGCCTGCTGCTGCTGCTGCTGCCGCTGCCGCCGCCGCTGCCGCTGTGCTGTGGAATCCAGCGCTTGCAGCATGACTGCGTCTGCCTGCTTGTGGGCTGCCCGTCCCCCCTAGAAGCCGCCCGGGATCCCAGAAGCCCCCTCCATCCCTCCCACCACACACACACACACACACACACACACACACACGCACACACACACGCACACTCTAAAAAAACAACAAAAAACAACCCCCCCCCAAAAAAAAAAACCCACCACCCACCCATTCGGTCCGATTGCAGCGTCGGCTGGTTTGAGGAGTATTTGGACCCCCCTCCCCGCCGCATCTTTAGCTGTCTGGCCTCTTGCTGTTGTTCGTTGCGGGATATCTGTGCTGAGACAATTTTTTTTTTGCGTGTTCTGGTTGGGGGGGGTGCTATAAATATGGCGTTCCCTGCACTTTGACCCGGGACTTGGATTTCTCTTGCTGTTTTTTGGCGGAGGGGACAGGAGCTAGCTAAGGGACTGCAGGCACACATTGGGCCGGGGCGGTGGCAGCGGGGGCGGCTTCTGCTCCCGGACCGCCCGGCGGCCCAGCGCCCTAGCACCCAGCTTTTATCTCTCTCATTTCTCTCTCTCTCTCTCTCTCTCTCTCTCTCTCTCTCTCTCTCTCTCTCTCTCTCTCTCTCTCGTCCCTGCTTTCCACGCTGGCGAACATATGCCTGGGGTTTTATTTACCGCCATGACGTTCTATGGCTTGAGAAGAATTTTCCCTTCTTTAAAAGGTATTTTTAGAAGGGAACAGAAAAGTCCTAATGAACTGTCATTTTACATATTAACTGGGAAACTGGCTAATCAAATAAAACTGGCTGACTGTCTGAAACTCTATCCCAGAGAAAAATGCGGCTGGGAATATAATTAGCCATCTGTCTACTGAGCAATTTAAATTTGGGCCCGGACATCTGTATTACAATGTCCAATTTTTGGAAGCCTTGGACATTTACCCAGCAGTGACAACAAAAATGGATTTGCTGACTAAGTTTTGAGGTTTGACTTGTGTATGCGTTATTCCTTCATTTCCCCCTCCTCCCACCCCATCCTCTTCTTGGAGCCTAGACTTGGCCCCCCAAGCCGATCGGGTTGAGAACCGATCCTTCTTGCTTGGCAGACTGCAATGTTGGCAATGACTTAACTGGTTAGACGGGGCTACAGGTTCCACTGTCTTGCGTCTTGGAAGTGGCATCTGCAATCTGACCTCCCAGAGGAAGGAGACTGATTGCACGAATACTAGCGGTGGGATAGACGTTCTTTTCTCGCCGGTTCAGATTGAGCAGCAGACGGGGGGAAGGGAGTAGGATGGGAATCCACCAAATATCTGAAATCGTAGAATCGGACCTACTTCTAGGTCCTTCCTAGCCTTCCTAGCTAGGGCTTATTTGTAAAACGAGGGAGTCGGGAGAGATGATCTCTGTGGTCCTTTCCAGCCGTGACAGTCTAGGTCTGTCTGACTTTAGCCCCCTAGCGCTTCTCCCTCCCCTTCCCCCCAACTCGTCTTTTCTGGTCATTTCGTCAGGTTATCTTGTAGCTGTCAATATTCTGATGTGTGGGTTTAGCAGTGTATTGGGTACCTGCTGTTCGGCTGAGACCAGGATGTTAAAATGTGCGAGAAAGGGCATTGTCCACAAATCTCCCCGTCTTTCCCTCGATCTTTTTTTTTTTTGCCTGCTAAAATTAAACCAGAAAATATTATTATAGAGAAAAAGGGACCAATTTGGGTCGGGGAACAGACGGCACCAGGAGGAAATGATTTAAGAGAACTTCTCCAAATATCCAGAATATGTCAGAATGTCAGAATATAATTAAAATGAGCCACAGAACGACTGTGCAGCCGGCTAGAGAAAGCCATTTAAATAAAGGCACACTTTTCAAACAAACATTTGACTAAATAACGAGCCTTGATAGATGGGTAACAATTATGTAAGCACGTGGCAGATTTTGACATCCATCAAGTCTGTTAAATAAATCAACCTGCTTGGTTGAAGAAATCTGGGGTGCAGCCATGCTTTATTTAAAAAAAAAAAGCATTCTCACAACCTCAGGACTCGAGTCAAAGCCAGACAAACCCCTCACACTGGGAGCTTTCTCTCTGTTTCTGTGTCTCGCGCAATCTAATGATTCACAATTCCCACGACTCACTGGGATAGTCGTGCAGTCGGAAGGCAGCCTGTACTGTGGGGATAGTGGCGAGATCAGGAAACTGGTAAGGGTGGAAAGCCTGCTGGGGACTGGGGGTCAGAAACCAGGACATCTGGATTCGAGTCTCCAAGGACAGGCTTTGCCACTTACTAGCCACGTTACCTTGGGCAAGGCATTTCCCCGTTCTGAGCCTCAGTTTCCCCATTTGTAAAAAAAAATCGGGATACTACTGCTTGCCCTCCTAGGGCAGTCGTGGGTGTCAAATGTGACAATGGAGGTTAAGGTTCGATAGAAATGTCACCTCTTACGGCTGATATTTCTAGACTCCCAGGGCCCACGGTTTCCTTGCTCTAGGAGCTCCCTCCACTGATACACATCTAAGCCCCTTCGCACTTGGGAGTTGCTGCAGCTGAAAACATTTATCACCCCGTGGCTGACCTTCTGTTGCTAAGCCTCTCTCCTCACTCAGCTCAGCCCAGCCTCGCCTGACAGACAGTCTCTTGGTGAGCCTGTTAGTACTTCCCTGGCTTCACTTTCAAGAGCCCAGGGTCACCTCCACACTATTGAGAGGCGTCAGAGAGGGCTATTAGTGGGCTGTTCATGCTGATGATGCATTATTTTATTTTAGATTAAAACATTATGAAATAATTATATGAAACATTATAAAATAAAATATGAAATAAAACTGTTAATGATGCTAACACAAAGAGGTACTGGGGTGGGATGGTGCAAAGAATCGAGAGGGGGCTCCCACTGGGAATCCTAAAGAAACAGGTTTAGAGCTGGACACCCCTAGAGAACATCTAGTCCAAGCCCTTCCTTTTTCAGAGAAGGAAACTGAGGCACAAGGTGTCACAGTGTGAAAGCTGGGACTCCTACTCTAGTCCTTTGACTCCCAGTCTGGAACTTTTGTCCCGCTTTCAAATCCCAGCTCTGCGATTTACTAGCTATATGGTCTTGGGTGGGTCACTTCTCCCTCTGGTCGTTAGTTTCCCCTTCTGTAAAAGGAGGGGGTTGGAGTAGATAATCTCACAGTTGCCTTCCTTTCCAGCCCTAAAAGCCCCTGATCCTTTGTATTTTCCGTGAATTAATTAAGTGGCGTTAGGTCTGGAGAGAGGATTTGCTGTGTAATAGTGGTACCTTGGTCCTGTATCCTGACAGGGCTGGGGATAACGATTTTTCCCCAAGGGAGGAGAGGGAGTAGGTCCTGGGTGGCCCTAGACTCTGATACAGTCTTGTTCACCTCTCATACCCAGCTTCAGGCAAAGATAGTTGAATTAGGGACTGGGGTGGGAAAGGGGGAAATAGGGCTGCTTCACTCCACCCATTTGCCCTATTCCCTGAAGCTTCAGATATTCCAAAATGTGGCCTCTGTACTTTTTTGTCCCTTTTTTTGTTCCTCTCTGAAAAATTGCCCAGCAGCTCAGTGCTTGGAGATCTGCCGCGGTGGGGGTGGAGATGGGGGATAGGGGGTGCTTTCCAAGTCCTAGTTAATCAGATTGGCTCCTGTGTCCTGGGCTTGCCCTGCTCCCTGGGGTGGCGCCTCTTTCTTATTCAGAAAACCACTTTTTAGGCAAAAGATAATGTTTTTCTGAGTCCCCTTCCCCGAGGGCCGAGCCCCCCTTCCCTCCCACCCCCAGCACTGAAACTATGTAACTTTACTCTTAAAGTCATAGGGCATAGGAAGGAACTTCAGAAATCATCTAGCCCACCCTCTTTGTTTTACTGATGGGGGAGCTAAGGAACAGAGATGGGTCATAATTTATTCCAATCAGTATGTCAATCAGTGTGGCAGAGCCAGGCTTCTAGCCCAGAACCTCTGATCCCAAATTCAGTCCTCTTTCCACTCCAACATGTTGCTGTCTGATTCCTTCATTTTGCAGGTGAGGCACCTGAGTGTCAGAGAGGGGAAGTGACTTGTCCAAGGTCACACAACCAGGAGGTAGAAGAAGCAGGACTCCAGCCCCAGAACTTGTGACTGTGAAGTGAAGAGTTCTTAATCCTGAAGCATACTACCTTGAGCTCTGGGAGCAAAGGCCCAGGCCCTCCTTGTTCTCTGAGTGGTCTCTCTTCGGCCTTCCAGGGACCCACCTGCAGGTGAGGAGGCCCTGTCTGGGCATATTTCTGCAGCCTGTTTCCTTTCTTTCCTATTACCTGCCCACAATTTTGACCCATGCCTCCATAGTAACCTCACTGTTCCTTTGGTGTCTCTCTCTGTAGCCCAGGGCTCTGGCCTGCCATCTTTCTCTTTCCACTGGAGAAGGCGCTGAAGTGTTTGGGACCAAGTGAGTACCTAGCTCCCATTTCCTTTCCCTGTTGCCTTGGGCTGGCACCAAAAAACCTTAGGGCTTGAAATTGTAGCCATTGTGATGCTCTCCTCTGTCACATTGGAGGTTTTCAAATGGATTTCTCTCATGACATAGGGATTGCAAGAATGATTGTTCCCATTTTACCGCTGAGAAAATGGATGCAGAACACCAAAAGTGGCAAAGATCAGAAATGCTTCACATTTCCATAGCTCCATAAAGTTTGTGTAATATTGTTCTTGCCATTCAACTGTGAGAGAGAGGTGTTTGTTTTTTTACATTTTACTGATGAAGAAACTGAAGCCTAGAGTTCATCCACTCCATCTCTCTACCTCAAGTCCTTCCTCACATGCTCTGGGCAATTCTCTGCCCATTACTTAAATATGCCTTAGAAATAATGTTATTGCCTCTCTTGGCAGTCTCTTCCCGTGGAATGACCCATGGATTTGGACTCAGAGAACCCGGGATCAAATGCTACTCCTGCCACTTGCTACCTCTGTGACCAGGGGCAAGTCCCTTCCCCTCCCCGGGCCTCAGTCTCCCCATCTGTAAATTGGGGCAGTTGGACTCAGTGACCTTTGAGGTCTCTTCCAGCTAAAAATCTATGATCTTTTGTTTCAAGCCAAGAAGCTATTACTGTTGATTAAGTGGAGGGGTTTAGATCATGTATTGAAGGGAACAGGTACAAAGGCTTCCTTGGTCTTCCTTGTTTCATGATAAGAATGTTTGGACGATGTTTTTTCCTTTATTGTGCCATTGTCACTTTCCAGTAGCTCCCTGTCCATAGACCCCTCCTTCATAACAAAGGGATCCCACCAAGCCAGGCCAGCCAATGCAGGGAGCACAGTTGGCAGGGTCTGCCCAGTGACCTCCCTTATTTTTCTGCCGTTCCTTGGACCTCGGGAAGGCAACTTTAAATCCAGCCCAGTGTTTTTCCTTGTGGGACTTATATGGAGGACAGCAAAACTGGGGAGACTCGGGCACCCCAGTGGGGTCTCATTGTTTGTGGCCACATTGTCATACTGAGCAAACCAAGACCAGAAATGCTCTTGGGGCATTGACTCACTAGCTCCCAGGTGCGTGCTTTGGTGGAAGGAGCACCAGATTTGGGAATCCCACCTTATGGGTTCAAATCCTGTATGCCTCACCTCTTGTGGGACCTGCCTTGGGAAAGCCATTTTTCCTTGTCTGCACCTCAGATTCCCCCTCTCTTAAATGAGGGGTTGGAATAAATGATCTCTCAGGAAGGGTCTTCTAAAACTATGACTTTATGAACTCACCGTCTCCTCAGTATTGAGGGCTAGAGACAGAGGTGAAGGTCTGCATGGGATAAAGGGGGGCAAGGTTTATATTTCCATTGGGATATGAGGGTAGGGATAGTAATCATTCCAATTTCTAGATTTTTTTTAGGTTTACATAGTGCTTTCCTCACAAAAGTCCTCTGAAGTATATAGTGTGAATATTATTATCTGCATTTTACAGATGAGAAAACTGAGGCTTCCCTGAATCTTGTGACTGTGAGGTATCAGAATCATTCTAGAGATAGGTGCATGAGCTGCTTCTCTGGGCTTATGAAAAAAAAAAAACAGAACTGATTGGTGTGTAGCCCTGCCTGGAGGCAGGGGGATGGACAAAATGACCTCTCAAGGTACTTTCTAGTCACAGAATCACCCAATGTTAGACCTATAGAGATTAGACCTTGGAGATCATCTAGTCTAACTAACCCCGTTATTTTATAGGTGTGGAAACTGAGGTAGCTAGCCCATAGTCAAATCACCCAACCGGCATTACAAATGAGTTCCTAGGATTTTGGAAGCAGTATTTATCTGACTACAGTGTGGTGTGAGCACCCAGTGTTGAACTTAGAACATGCTAAAGGTTTTACTGTCTCTTCTAAGTGGAGGTTGGTCCATTTGTTCAGCTCCTCCTGCTGTTTGGAGTGGAAGGGGAAGGGACCTGTGTCCTCCAGGAAGTCTGTCAGCTGGAGTCAGGACAGCATCTGGTTCCTTCCTCAGGAGGGTCCCCGCACAAGACCAACAGTTGAGTTCTTTTCATTTCTTTCTGCTCCCCCTCTGTACTCTAAGCTTGTGTTTTCTAATGTTTTATTCATAGAATGTTAGAGTTGAAAGGAACCTTAGAGAATTATCTAGGGAAGCAACTCTGCCTCACTTAAGTCCCATTCACTCCAGAGTCAAGACATCACCCCATGAGGTCTTTGGTCCTCTTTGAAAACCAAGGACAAACCAACCAAGACATTTGACAGTTGAGGAAACTACTACACAGAGACTGTGAGTTGTCCAAGGTCATACAAGCAACAGGGCTGGGGTTTGAGTTCAGGTCCTTTGACTCGAAACCCTTGCCCTTTCCCTATACCTGAGGTCCTCAAAACCTCCCCCCCCCCCCCCCCCCCCGCATTGTTCTGGTACTACATAAAAGAGCTGATAAAACCCAAAGGAATTCAAATGACTATTTCTCTTCAGTTTAGAAAAGCTTCTGCCCCTATACCCCTGCCCCAATTAGCCTTTCTAATTATGTTTATGTTGATAGTTTACATTTCCTCAGGCTTCACCTGCTACCATTGGGAAGAAAGGAAGTGGTCCCTGAGTGTGAATGTGCTGGGTGGGACATGGGAGTTAGTCTTAAATGTTTTTCGGGGGTGGGGTGGGGTGTCACCTATACCACTGATATCGACACAGGAATCAACTGAGGATTGCCATTTAAAATGGAAACTTGAGCATGTCTTTCTGCAGGTGTGTGGTGCGGTAACCTGGATATCTTGGTCTTAGATATTCGCTGACCTTGCTATTCTCTTCCAGGAAATATCCCTGTCAGCGGGAGCTGTCAGGTACACCATGCTTGAGATGTGTGAGCACATGGGTGATGGATTGGGACTGGGAGGTGGGGAAATCGAAGCAAGACAAATGGGACAGGGTTTCATAAGCCAATTCTTCCCATGTAGGTATTAACTTAGAAGAATCAGTACCAGCTATACCCTGATGCCAGCTATTGTCGAATAAACGTAGCGGTTCCACGGTTCTGGAAGCCAGAGCACTATATAGCCTGGGGACCTCCTTGTCCCGGGTGTTAGGATCTCACCCACAGTTGTCTTTGGGAGTAGATGTGTCTCTCTTGGAACTTGCCCATTAAAGTCTGGGTCTAGGGAGCTGGGACCTTTGTTGTGTCTGTAATTCTGGGAGAATAAGGATCTTTGGAACCTGACCCATTGGTCTATATCTACTCTTCCCAGGGGAGAAGGAAGCTCTCTCACAAAGCCTTTCCACTTTCTCCCAGCTGCTATTTTCTTCTCAACTTGTTTGTGATTAATTAGCCTGCAGGGCTTTGGCCCAGGGACATAGTCTCCGGCTTACCTGGGTCTGAACCAGATGTCTCCTGCCTTTAGTTGCTGAATAACTGGGACAAATTCCTGAGATGTCGCCACTCCCTGAGCATATGTGGGGAACAGTCAGAGCTGCTCACATGTAGCTGGCATGTGAAGGCTGAGGCAACCAGCAAAGTCCTGGAACTAGGCCTCGAACCCAGGCCTTTTGGTTCAGATGCCACTGTTGTATAACTTCAAGCTTTGTGAATGAACGGCTGTGTCCCAAGTGGGTTGCAGTTGTAAAGCACTATATAAATGTCTGCTCTTGCTGCTTGTATTACTTCCTGGGCATTATAGAATCCATCCAAAAAAAGTGCAGTCTACTGATTCTTCCTCCCCACCCAACAAATCAACCGAATTTCCACAGACATATCTTGGTTTCTTGTAACCAGAGGATCATTGATTTTAGAGTTGGAAGGAACCTTAGATCACAGTGCCAGAGCTGGATGGGACTTTAGCACATGGAACATAGCATGCTGGAGCTGGGAGGGACCTTAGCACATGGAACACAGGTTGCCAGAGCTGGGAGGGATCTTAGAATGTAGGAGAAACATTTGCTGGAATGTGAGAGACAGACCCTTCTTTAGAAAACTATCTGAGGACAGTGGTGTCAAACACATAGAAGCAAAGCCACTGAGCCTTCCCTATCAATCCTTGGGGGCTGCATATGGCCTTGGTTTGAAATTTTAATAGCTCTGCCTTATTGTCCTTTACTTGTGTCCAATATTTCCTGATGCCATTTGCGTCTGGTTTGGGCCACGTTTGGGCCTGTGTTTGACACCTCTGCCCTAGGAGTCTCTTTGCTAATTGCAACATAGAAATACAGAACCTCAACGACATGAGATTTAGGGCTGGAAGGAACTTAAGAGATCATCATGTCCACCCTCCTCATTTTACAGATGAGGAAACTGAGGCCCAGAGAAGGTAAGTGATTTGACCAAGGCCACACAACAAGTTAGTGTCTGAGGCAAGATTTGAACCCAGGCTTCCCTGACTCAGAGTCCATCACTTGACCCATTGCACCTCTTTGCTGCCCCTAGACCGTCAGAGTTAGAAGGGCCCCAGAGGCCTGTATAGTCCATCCAGGACTGGAACAAGGAGCCATCCAGGCTCCCCTCCCTCTTCTTTGAGCCTACCTCAGTGTGTTCCTTCATGTTGTCCTCTCTCTATGCGTCTGTTAACTGGTGCCTCCATCTAGCAAGTTGCTTTGTTTCTCTCCAGACCATTTAATGCATATTTCCTTCCTGGGTCACCATCGAGTCCATCAGCTCCTCTGCTGCTAGATCGATTTTCCTCAGTACTCGCCTCTCAGGCTCTCGGCTCCTCTGCTTCAGTTTCCACGCCCCTTGTTTATGCCTGCTTTGTGTCTAATTCGCTGCTCTGCTCCTGCCCTATGACCCCCTGCTCCGAAGACCTGCAAGAAGCATCGATTGCTTCCAAACTCCCATTTTGCACTGTTGGTGGCTATCAAAACAGAGCACTCAGAATCTCAGAGGGCATTTAGGCCAACTGTGGCCCATGCAGGAGTCTCTTTGATAACAGCCCAGACAGGTGGTCAGCCAGCCTCTGTTTGGCAACCTCCAGTGAAGGGAAAGCTCAA